TCCCTATCAGTATTTGTTGAAGAAACAAAAAAACAGGCTGGGAAAATGGCTCACATCTGTTGGCAAGGCTGCTCTCAAACTCCTGACCTCAAGTGATCTACTCAACTTGGCCTCCCAAAGTGCTGGGATTACAGGTGTGAGCCACCGCACCTGGCCTAATCCTCTGAACATAAACACTTTAATCTCAATTAATGCTTGAACTCAGTGTTAAGTCAACTCAAACTCAAGTCAATGCTGATTTGAATCTAATGTCAATTAATTGTTGATGGTTTGCTATACTCACTGCATTTGGAACTATTACCTCAAAAATGAATTTCCTGATGTCCTGCAAGGAGTCACCTCAGACTAAAGACCTTGCCACACATGACACTTGTAAGATCTCTGTCCAGTACGGATTCTCTGATGTGTAATGGGGCATGAACGTGAAATAAAGGCTTTGACACAATCATCACACTTGTGAGGTTTCTTTCCTGTATGAATTCTCCTATGTTTTGTGTAAGATGAAACTTGACTGAAGATCTTGCCACAGTCATCACATTTGTAAGGTTTCTCTCCAGTATGAGTTCGCTGATAAACTGCAAGGTAAGAATGATGCCTGAAAAATCTGCCACATTTATAACACTTGTAAGATCTCACTTCGTTATGGTTCTCCAATGATTTGCAATGGTTGTAGCGTTACTGAAGACTTTGCGACAATCATTACATTAGTAAAGTTTCCCTACAACATGGATTGCTTGATGGTGAATGAGTGTTGACTGGCCACAGAAGGCTTTGCCACACTCATTACACTTGTACGGTTTCTCTCCAATGTGAATTCCAGCATGTTGTGCCAAATGTGAATCATACCTGAATGCCTTGTCACAAACCTTACATTTGTATGGTTTCTCTCCAGTATGAACTGTCCTATGTATTTCAAGGAGTGACTTGAAATTGAAAACTTTGTCACATTCTTCACATTTGTAAGGTTTTTCTCCAGTATGAAGTCTATAATGACGTGCAAGGTTTGATTTTCGATTAAAAACCTTGCCACAATCATTACACTTGTAAGGTTTCTCTCCAGTATGAAGTCTATGATGATATGCAAGACTTGATTTGTGATTAAAACTTTTGCCACATTCATTACACTTGTAACGTTTCTCTCCAGTATGAATGACCTTATGCATTACAAGAGATGAATTTTGAACGAAGGTCTTGCCACAGTCATTACACTTGTAAGGTTTCTCTCTAGTGTGAATTATAATATGTTGTGCCAGGTGTGAATCACGTCCAAAAGCCTTGTCACAAATCTTACATTTGTATGGTTTCTCTCCAGTGTGAATTCTCCTATGTCTTTCAAGGTGTGATTTGCGACTGAAAACTTTGTCACATTCTTCACATTTGTAAGGTTTCTCTCCAGTATGAAGTCTACGATGACGTGCAAGGTTTGATTGTTGATTAAAAACCTTGCCACATTCATTACACTTGTAAGGTTTCTCTCCAGTATGAATTGCCTTGTGAATTACAAGGCACGACATGTGACTGAAGGTCTTGCCACACTCATTACACTTGTACGGTTTCTCACCAGTGTGACATCTACTATGGCATGCAAGGTATCGCTTCTGATTAAAGACCTTGCCACATACATCACATTTATATTGTTTCTCTCCTAAATGGGTTATCTGACGTTTTTTTAACAGTGAGCTACAATTAAAGGCTTTGTCACTCTCATTACATTGGAAAGATTGTTCTCTCATGTGTACCTCCTGTTTTTGTGTGAGTAATGAAGAATGGAGGAAATTATTCCCATACTTATTAGAAATATGGGTTTTAGGAATACAAGAAATTCTTTGGGATGTTGAAACCGAGGAAGCATCACTGATAAACTTCTCAACCTGATTATCAATTTTCCCTTTGCTCTGAAATACCTGCAGTTCAGGCAGATGCAAATGAAAGCTTTGTCCAACCTGATCTTTAATAGGCTTGTTTCTAGCATGCCTTTGATCATGTCGGTCTGTACTACCAGTCAACTTTTTGATTTCTGTCATGAGTGCTTCATGGCCATTTCTTTCATCTTCTTGCCACTGAAACTCAAAGTCCTGAAAATCTTTCTCAATTTCCTGGAGGGAAAAATCTCCAATGTGATGACTTGCTTGTCTTTGCAATGTCCCAGTGTGGATCACTTCCGTACTGCCTTGCCCTGTTGATGAGAACTTCCTTGTCATGCATTTGGAAGAGATAGCTACAAAATATAAACACCAATAGGTTTCCAATTAAGTGTAGACGGTAAATAATACTGAAATGTGTAAATAGGACACAAATAACAATATTTATTTTGAAATTCCCAAACATGACCTTCAAAGTTTAGGAACACAAAAGAACTAAGATTCTTTAATAAATAAAGGGCAATTACACGTACTTCAAATCATTTCTACAGAAGCCTATTCCCAATATTATGACAAGACACTGACAGGACACAAACATGTGGAAGCCTGAAGTAAGGAGTGTTTTTCCACTGTGACCCTAAAGTGTATCACAATTTGCAAAAAAAAAATTACTGTCACATCAAAGAAGGAAAAAATATATATTCTTTATATTTACAGCATATTCAGAGTATACAAATAAGTGCTAAAGGACCGGACAACGTACTATATTGGTAAATAATCCACAACAAGCCCTTGTAACGATAATCAAAATCAATGGAAATTCTGTATTGTCAAACAATCATAGCACTGAGAAGGTAAGAAAAGATTACAAAAATTAGCCAGGCATGGCGTCCCGCACCTGTAGTCCCAGCTACGTGAGAGGCTGAGACACAAGAATTGCCAAGAGGCAAAGGCTGCAGTGAGTCAATATCGCACCACTGCACTCTAGCCTGGATGACAAAGTGAGACTCCGTCTCAAAAAAAAAAAAAGGCAGGGCATGGTGGCTCACACTTGTAATTCCACTATTTTGGGAGGCTGAGGCAGGCGGATCATCTCAATACAAAAAGTAGCCGGGCATGGTGGTGTGCACCTGTAATCCCAGATACCTCGGAGGCTGAGGCAGAAGAATTGCTTGAATCCGAGAGAGGAAGACTGTGGGGAGCTGAGATTGTGCCACTGCACTTCAATCTGGGCGAAAGAGTGAGACTCCGTCTCAAAAAAAAGAAAATGTTAATACCATATTTTCCTGAATAACTGTGAAATATTTCCTATATCCATGTGGAACAGGCACTTTGTGACTTTTTAAAAAATATTTTATTACTTTTATATTTTTGAGACAGAGTCTTGCTCTGTCACCCAGGCTAGAGTGCAATGGCACGATCTTGGCTTACTGCAACCTTCACCTCCTGGGTTCCAGTGAGTGTCCTGCCTCAGCCTCCTGAGTACCTTGGATTACAGGCAAGTGCCAGCATGCCTGGCTAATTTTTGTATTTTTAGTAGAGATGGGGTTTCACCATGTTGGCCATTTGGGATTACAGGCGTAAGCCACTGCGCCCGGTGGCACTTTGTGACATTAATGAGTGCAGTGTGTCAGTTATATTGCATGCCACATACTGAATACTCACATGTAGAGTCATAAAATTCAATTAATAAAATATTGTAACTAATGATAAAACAAGAAAATAATACATACATTCATACAGTCCGCAGAATTGTAAACAATTTCCACTTAAGAAAAAGCCACAGCCGGGCGCGGTGGCTCAAGCCTGTAATCCCAGCACTTTGGGAGGCCGAGACGGGGTGTTCGAGATCAGCCTGGCCAACATGCTGAAACCCCATCTTTACTAAAAATACAAAAAAATTAGCGGGCGAGGTGGTGGGCGCCTGTAGTTCCAGCTACTCCGGAGGCTGAGGCAGGACAATGGCCTAAACCCAGGAGGCGAAGCTTGCAGTGAGCCGAGATCCGGCCACTGCACTCCAGCCTGGTCGACAGAGCAAGACTCCGTCTCAAAAAAAAAAAAAAAAAAAGAAAAAGCCACAATTTCTACTTACCACCAGCACACAATATAAGAACTGAATTACATGCTAGGATCACTACCTTCTGATTTTAACAGATTGACCTCTGATGAGGTCAAGGAAATACACAGCATTACAACGAGTAAGAATTGACTAACAGCCAGGTGCGGTGGCACATGCCTGTAATCCCAGCACTTTGGGAGGCTGAGGCAGGCGGATCACGACATCAGGTGTTCGAGATCAGCCTGGCCAACATGCTGAAACCCCATCTTTACTAAAAATACAAAAAAATTAGCTGGGCATGGCGGAGGGTGCCTGTAATCCCGGCTACTTGGGAGGCTGAGGCAGGAATCCTTTGAACCCAGGAGGTGGAGGTGTCAGTGAGCTGAGATCAGGCCACTGCACTCCAGCCTGGGCGACAGGATAAGACTCAAACGACACAACTACTTCTCAAATTCGCTTTGGTAGTTTTGGTATTCTCTAATAGGATGTTCCTGCAGATGCAGACCTTGAGAGAACTGAGTCATGGGTGTTGACTACTCATGAATAGGACCAGTGCATTTATAGAGACATTAAAGGGCTCACTGCCTCTTCATTCCACAGTGTCAGGACATGGCAGGGAGATGGCTGGGCTAAACCATGAAGAAGGCTCTCACCAGGAACCAATTTGGCTGGCACCTCGCTCTTGGACTTCCCACTTTCCAAATTCAGGAGAAATAAATTTCTGCATCTTAAGCCTCCCAGTTTAAGTTATTTCCTTGTTTGTTGGTTTTTCAGATTCAGTCACGCTCTATCACCCAGGCTGGAATGTAGTGGCATGATTCTCCTACCTCAAGTGATTCTCCCACCTCAGCGCAGAGTCACTCTGTCACACGGGCTGGAGTGCAGTGGCATGATCTTGGCTCAGTGCAACTTACACCTCCCGGGTTCAAGTGATTCTCCTGCCTCAGCCTCCTAAGTAGCTGGGATTACAGGTGCACACCACTATGTACAACTAATTTTTTTTATTTTTAGTAGAGACAAGGTTTCAGCATGTTGACTAGGCTTGTCTCAAACTCTTGACCTCAAGTGATCGCCTGTCTCAGCCTCCCAAATTGCTGGGATTACAGGTGTGAGCCACTGCGCCTGGCACATTTTTGGCATTTACTACATTCGAGGTTTCACCATGTTGGCCAGTCTGGTCTCAAACTCCTGACCTCAAGTGATCTACCCACCTTGGCCTCTGAAAGTGCTGGGATTAGAGGGGTGAGCCACCATGGCCGGCGATTCTAAGCTATTTCTGACAGGACAGTGTTAATGACTGAGGCAGGAACAGGAGCATCTCATCATCAACATCACTGGCGGCTGACAAATCTGATTAAACAAAGGAAGTTGAGAGTCTGTACTGTAAAACTTGCAATCCTTGAAGCCATCTAATGGCACTAATGTGTTAAAAACCTTGAGAAAGGCTGGGTGCAGTGGCTTATGCCAGTGATCCCAGCGTTTTGGGAGGCTGAGGCAGGAGGATCAGAATGTCAGGAGATCGAGACCATCCTGGCTAACAAGGTGAAACCCTGTCTTTACTAAAAAAAAAAAAATAGAAAAAATTAGCCTGGCGTGTTGACACCCACCTGTACTCCCAGCTACTTGGGAGGCTGAGGCAGGAGAATTGCTTGAACATGGGAGGCGGAGGTTGCAGTGAGCTGAGATCACACCACTGCACTTTAGCCTGGGCATCAAAGCAAGACTCCATCTCAAAGAAAAAAAAAGAGGAAATGAAAGAAGGCTACAGAGTAACTCTAACACACAAACATAAAGTTCTCCAGTAAAGGTAAATAAAAAAAACAGATAGGCCGGGCATGGTGGTTCATGCCTGTAATCCCAGCACTTTGGGAGGCCAAGGCAGGCAGATCACCTGAGGTCGGAAGTTCGAGACCAACCTGACCAACAAGGAGAACCCCTGTCTCTACTAAAAATACAAAATTAGCCGGGCGTGGTGGCCCATGCCTGTAATCCCAGCTACTTGGGAGTCTGAGGCAGAAGGATCGCTTGAACCCAAAAAGCAGAGGTTGCGGTGAGCTGAGGTTGTAGCCTTGCACTTCAGTCTGAACGACAAAAGCAAAACTGTCTCATAAATACATATATTAATTAATTAATAAAAGGACAAATACAGAAACTGGTACACGTGTACCTTTTCTTCATAACTAAACTTTTTTTCATATTATTTAAAATAAAAAGGCATGAAAAAACACTGTACATATATGTCAACCGAAATGCAACATACACAGAAATAATGTTGACATAAATTAAAAACAGTTCTAGTGGAGAGGGAGTAGTTTTTGCAGGTTTTTGTTTGTTTGTTTGTTTTTGAGATGGAGTCTTGCCCTAGATCCCAGGCTAGAGTGCAATGGTGCAATCTCGGCTCACTGCAACATCCACCTCACGGATTCAGGCAATTCTCCTGTGTCAGCCTTTCGAGTAGCTGGGATTACAGGCACCTGGCACCATGCCTGGCTAAGTTTTCTATTTTTAGTAGAAACGGAGTTCACCACATTTGCCAGGTTGGTCTCAAACTCCTGACTTCAGGTGACCTGCCTGACTCCGCTGGGATTACAGTCACGCACTGCCGTGCCTCACTAGTTTTTGTAATTTTAGTAGAGACAAAGTTTCGACACGTTAGCCAGGCTGGTTTTTAACTCCTGACCTCAGGTGATCCACTCACCTTGGTCTCCCAAAGTGCTGGGATTACAGGCGTGAGCCACTGCACCTGGCCAGGTTATGCAAATTTTAAGTTTCATCATTATGCTATAATTTAAGATGTTTAACATACCTGCAACAACCACCTCTGCCCCAAATATCTATACAACACACTTCACTTCTGCATACTGAAAGGAATGGACACTAACGTGGTTGTTATATTCACCCTGGAATCATGCTTCAACCACTTACATGTTTACTAAGAACTAAAAGACAAAACTATCTAAAATAATAACAATGGTTGGGCCATGGTGGCTCATGTCTGTAATCCCAGTGCTTTGGGAAGCCGAAGAAGGTGGATCATTTGAGATCAGGAGTTGGAGACCACCCTGGTCAACATGGTGAAACCCAGTCTCTACTAAAAACACAAAAATTAGCTGGGCATTGTGGTGAGTGCCTGCAGTCCCAGCTACATGGAAAGCTGGGGCACAAGAACCCTTTGAGCCCGGGAGGCAGAGTCTACGGTTAGCCAAGATTGCGCCAATACACTGTAGCCTGGGCGACAGTGTGAGACAAAGAAAAGACAGAAAAGGAAAAGAAAGAAAGAGAAGAAAGAGAAGAAAAAAGAACAGAGAAATAAGCGGGGGAAAAAGATGTCTATTCAGAGATCTCAGGATTGAACCTTTCCTTTTCCCACAGAATTCTCCCACTTGCAGAGAGTTTCCCCACACACTATTTGAAGGTGGAGCTTCCACTCTGCCCATCTGGGCTCTTACCTGCCTTTACACCTGTAATACATTCCCACCCAGCTGGATTTATTTATTTATTTATTTATTTATTTTGAGATGGAGTTGCCCAGGCTGGAGTGCAATGGTGCGATCTTGGTTCACCACAACCTGCGCCTCCTGGATTTAAGCGATTCTCCTGCCTCAGCCTCCTGAGTATCTGGGATTACAGGCGTGCACCACCACGCCCAGCTAAGTTTGTATTCTTAGTAGAGACAGAGTTTCTCCATGTTGGTCAGGCTGTTCTCGAACTCCCAACATCCAGTGATCCACCCACCTCGGACTGAAAAACTGCTGGGATTATAAGCATGAGCCACTGTGCCCGGCCCTGAATTTTTTTTGCTATTTTCAGTTCACACTCCACAGTCCAGGACTCTTTCCCTTGCTCCAACGTAGAGATAACAGGTGAGAAAGAGGCTTCTGCTTATAAAAAGAAAAAAACCATAACATGCTGGAGCTTTTCTAGAGTCCCAGCCCTACGTTTCAGTAGGAAAGAAGACATTACAGATGAATCTAGGAAAATATTTCACTAATTGCTCCACTGACTGCCTCCCTCTGAATGCTTGGGGAACGTTGTAATATGTAATACGTGGACATCGAGCTCTCTTCCAAGAACTACTGAATCGAAAGCACAGGAGAAGCAAACAGGGAACTGGATATCTTTAAAGTCTGCCAGAAGGTTTTATTTTTGTTTTTGTTTCTTCAGACAGTCTGTCGCCCGGGCTGGAGTGAGTGGAGTGTTTTCAGCTCACTGGAAGCTTCGCCTCCTGGATTCAAGTGATTCTCTTTCCTCAGCCTTTCTAGGAGCTGGGATTAGAGGCATGCACCACGCCAGGCACGTGCCACCATGCCGGGCTAACTTTTCTATTTTTAGTAGAAATGGGGTTTCTACATGTTGGCCAGGGTGGTCTCGAACTCCTGACCGGAAGTGATCCACACACCTGGGCCTTCCAAGGTGCTGGGATGACAGGTGTGAGTCACCATGATCAGCCTGCCGTAAGGTTTTATGCCTACTTTAGTTCTGGAACCCACGCTGAGGTATCATGAAGAAAGCAGAACATCTAAACAAAGGGGACAGTGAAAGTCCAGATGCTACATCATGAACCTTTTCACTTCAAACTCAATACAGTTTCCATTTTAGTCAAGCAAGGATGGGGCTCCCAAAAGAAACAAGAGAAAATACAAAGACACACAAGGACACATCCCCAGCAGAGAAGTTATCCTCACCCAGGGAGACCAGGTTTCTATAATTCTCCAGCATCACGTCTCTGTATAGAGTCCTCTGAGCAGGGTCCAGACATTTCCACTCCTCCTGAGAGAATTCTATGGCCACGTCCCTGAATGTCAACAGACCCTGAAATGAAAACACATTTTAAGCAAATGGTTATGGGAGGAATTCTTATCTTTACAGAAAATGAGAAGAGGAGAGAGGGGAAAGCATGGATTTCATCGTAGTGAATGTTCTGACAAATCCGAGTAAGGGACTTTTCACCACATGATGTCTTCCCAGTTGTGTTTGATTACACTTTTTGAAGAGGTCATGATACCCTCTCAGTATGAATTTCTTATGTTTGTGAAAAATACAAGAAATAAGTAAAAAATGAAAGCAGGGTTCCTGTTAAAGAAATGTCTGAAACTTATATTGACACACCAAGTGACATTCAGTATCTAGATGAGACACAGCATGAGTGATGTCTATAATCCCAGCTATGCCAGAGGCTGAGGCAGGAGAATCACTTGATTCCAGGAGGCAGAGTTTGCAGTGATCCCAGATCGCACCACTGCACTCTAACCTAAGCAACAGAAACTCCATCTCAAAAAGAAAAAGAAAAAAAAAAATTAGCCTGGCATGGTGGCAGGTACCTGTGGTGCCAGCTACTTGGAAGGCTGAGGTGGGAGGACAGCTTGACCCTGAGGGTGGAGGTTGCAGCGAGCCATGATCATGCCAGGGCACTCCAGCCTGGGCAACAAAGTGAGACCCCGTCTCAAAATAAAATAAAATACATGAAAACAAAATTATTCAAAGTCCAAAAATCCAATTTGTACAAAATTTGTACAAATTGTACAATTCGTACAAAAATCCAAAGCACAAAAATCCATTTATAAACATATAGATATGTTTATAAAATAATAAAACCTACTCGGACTGACAAAAAACTAGATGTTAATACAAAGCACTGTCAATGAGGAAAGAGAGAGACCCTCTCACATTGTTGTATACTGTTTTATACTCAGTACCTGTTTTAAGAAAAAAACAAGGAAGTAAAACCAAAGACAGGCAGCCCGGTGCCAGGCCCGAAACCAGGCCTGGGTCTGCCTGGCCTAAACCCAGTAGTTACAAATCAACTCATAACTTAGCAACCGATGTTATTCATAGACTCCTGACACTGTATAGAAGAACACTGTGAAACTCCCTGCCCTGTTCTGTTTCTCTCTGACCACCGGTGCATGAAACCCCTGTCACTATCCCCTAGACTGCTCAATCACGACGCTTTCATATGAAATCTTTAGTGTTGTGAGCTCTTAAAAGGGACAGAAATTGTGCACTCAGGGAGCTCGGATTTTAAGGCAGTAGCTTGCCCATGCTCCCAGCTGAATAAAGGCCTTCCTTCTACCACTCGGTGTCTGAGAGGTTTTGTCAGCGGCTCGTCCTGCTACATCATTTGTCCCAGATTTTCAAAACACATACGTGTGTGTTTATATAAGTATGTGTATGTCATACGTGTGTATATGTGTGGGGATGTGTGTGTATATATATACACGTGTGTGTGTGTGTTTGTGTGTATATATATATGAGTTTTAAAAATACAAAAAGTAGCAAGCTTTGTTTAACTGAAGAGGAATCTCATCTTGCTGGAAAAGGACACTTTGGCAGTTGGAGGCAGGGGGGAATCTTGAGGGATCTGAGAAAACAGGAAATGCCTCATCCTAGAGGAGGCAATCACTCCTTCACCTGCCTGACCTGGAGGAATCTTCAGATACCTGTAGGAATGCGGGGCATGCACGGAGGCAGCCACTATGGCACTCTTTATACAGAGAAAAATCACAAATGACCCACAGGTTGTCACTCAGCCAATTTCCAATGCCAAAGAGCAAGCTAGCCATGTTTACTAACATGACAACATGTAAATTTTCACAACTAGCAGGATCAAATATCAAAGTAAAATATTTCCCGGAACACAAAGAAGAAAACAACAGACACTGGGGTCTACTTGAAGGTGGAGAATGGGAGGAAGGAGAGGAGCAGAAAAAATAACTATTGGGGGCCGGGCGTGGTGGCTCACTCCTGTAATCCTAGCACTTTGGGAGGCTGAGGAGGGTGAATCACCTTAGGTCAAGAGTTCAAGATCAGCCTGGCCAACATGTTGAAACCCTGTCTCTACTAAAAATAGAAAAATTAGCCAGGCGTGGTGGCCGGTTTTTTGTAATCCCAGCTGAGGCAGAAGACTCACTTGAACCCTGGAGATGGAGGCTGCAGTGAGCTGAGATCATGCCATCATACTCCAGACTGAGCAACAAGAGCAAAACTCAGTCTCAAAAAAAATAAATTAAAAAAAAAAGTTATTGGGTACTGGGCTTGACGCCGAAGTGATGAAATAATCTGTACGACAAACTCTGATGGCATGAGTTTACCTACGTAACAAACCTTCACGTGCAGTCTCAAACCGAAAGTAAAAAATATATACATATAAAATTTTCTTTTTTTAATTTAGTACAGTTTTTTTTTTTTTTTAAGTCTCATAACAATGCAGAAATACACGAGTACGAGACTAGCTCTGACACCTGGCACAGAACTGACAGTAGCGGCTCCCCAGTGAGGCTGGAAGGAGGGTGGAGGACGTGACAAGGAAAGGAGATGCTTTATAGCTAAGAGCCTAAGCTGCAGCTTTGCTTGGAGTTTTACCACAAAACAAATACATGCATCATGGGATGTTTAAATATAACAATA